AAAACCACGATGCTCTCCCCCCCCCCCCCCCCCCCCCCCCTTACACTACTGATTGTCAATTTGCAACTATCTTTCCCCAATGCCCTTCAGATTACCGCTCTTGATTACACCGCAGGCCTATTCACTTCGTGCAGAAAGGGTAGTGCTTGTATTCCACTCCTGCCTCCTGCCTGCCTAACTCCTTGCTGGGTCCTTAGATGTGTGTGTGTGTGGGGGGGGGGGGGGCAATAAGTGCAATGTTATGTTACTCACATTTTACTCGAAGGATAGTGCTTATGTTGTAGTCCTACATCTCTGACTCTTTGCTGGGTCCTTGGATTTAGGTCGCGGCGGTTCTGTCCTTGGGGTTCATGAACGCATGTTTGTCCCATTCAGCCACATGGTACACACATGTAACTGTTACCCAACAGAGCATGAGTTCGGACCCCGGTGGTGGAATCAGATGAACACAATAACGTTATGGGCTATTCAGCAGCCTACAGGCAAGGGGGCCGATTGCTTGCCGCGATTCCTCCGTGGTCACATCCGTCCAGCAACTTCCCTAGCGTCTTGACCCGAATAGAAAGTCCTGTCATTATAGCTGTATTCAGGGCAGCTTTCAGTCCAGATGCGCAGCCATATTGACCAGCCGTTCTATTCGTGTGAAGACGGTAGCTAACTCGATTTTTGTCTGAGCGACAGTTCTGTAACTTTTGTTTTGGTTAACATTTGAAGTATGTGTTGGGAATTTTACAGGTCCAACTGCATGCCTCCTGAATCAACTTCATATTCTACTGTCACCTTTATTTATCTACGTATTTATTTATGTATTTATTTATGTATTTATTTATTGGTATTTTTTACTCTCTTGTCACCTCATATTCAATCATGCACTAGTTCGGAACTCCAAGCAAAGAGAGAGAGAGAGAGAGAGAGAGAGAGAGAGAGAGAGAGAGAGAGCAGGTAGTATGTGCATAAACGGATTCTGTGTGTGTGTGTGTTTATTTACTCACGCCTGTTTTTCAAGTCCAGAACATTTACCTGTTTTTTTTTTTTTTTGTTTTGTTTTTAATCGCAGCTATGCTGTCTGTACTTTTCCCGGGTCGAGAGTTCCGTGCGGGCTGCTGCTGCTGCTGTTACTGACAAGGTCGGTTCTTTCTCTTTCTGTGACGGCTTTTTCTCTGTGGAATATCGTATTCCGTTTTGTGCAGGAGTATCGATTGTCGCAGATGTACCAAGATGCACTCTGGGAAATACAGCGCGAGAATTATGTTGCCGCTCAAGAGATCTTTGAATGCATCCTCAGGGATCCTCTTTGTGTTGCCGCGCAGGTGATTACACCCACTGCCCCCCCTGCACTCTCCACCCTCCCTCTTCCCCCCTTTTGCCCCTTTCCCCCCCTTCCCCC